TGGCCTATTTGCAGATTGCAAAGTCCAACAAATTTGTGAGTGCGCAAGTGATGGAACACATGGCCTCCTGCTAGCCAATTGGCTGATGAGGTTTGATGGCTAAAAATCACCAGCGATAGACGTCAGACATTTTTTGGGACTTTAAAACATATTTTTTTAAGAAAAAAGTGAATACTTTTTGAAACGCGAGCCTTTTCCAAAATTGTGAATCTTTTTTTCAAAAACTCAAACATGTTTTGAAAATGCAAAAACAAAAAATCTCAAATATTTTTTGAAAACACGAACATTCTAGAACCTTGTACATTATTTGAAAAATGGGTACATTTTTTGAAATTTTGAGCAAAATTTGAAGTAAGGAATGTTTTAAAAAATGGGAACATTTTTTGAAATTTTGACTAAAATCTGTAAATATGATTATTTTGTGGGAACTCCAAACAAAATTCGAAAGTATGAATTTTCTTATCTGTGGACAAAATTTGAAAAGGGAACATGTCTTGGAATCCCGAACACAATTTGGAAACATGAACATTTTCTAAAATGTGGACACTCCTTAAAAATTTGAACAATTAAAAAAGGATATTTTATTAAACACTAGAAGAATTTTTAAACATCTCAAAAAAGTTGAAGACTTGGAACATCTTTTGAAAAAATGAACATTTTGTGAAATTGCAAATTTTATAGAACACATTAAAAATATTTTTTAAGTGAACATTATTTTGAATATTTGAACATTTTTAAAAATTTAAAAATTATGAAAAAAGGAAAAAGAAAAAGAAAGAACAACTTTAAAAAGAATAGCTTAAGAGAAATGACTGACAAAAAGACTAATCTTAGTCAATCTAATTATCTGAATGCAGCTCTATTTTTCTTTTGACGGAAAAAGATAACTTTATTAAATAGAAACTACAATTATCTCCATTTGAGGCTCCTTAAACCATGCAAGCCATAAAAAACCCTAGCTACCCTTGTAAGTTCATGGACGACCCTATTTGCTTTCCTATTACAATGATTGACATTACAGTGCGACGAAATCACATGCCATAAAATAACAATCGCCAAAAACAACCACACCCGCCGCTGCCACATACCGCCCTCCATTCTTCATGATGCCAATGATCTTAAAATTATTTGAGTTAATAACGCTGGCTCTTCATGATATGCGCGGTGTGGTGAACTACCTGCTAATTCTTGTGTAACATCAATTTTTGTATTGGGTCTGTGTAGGACTCATCTAGATGTGACATAACGATGTCACATCTAAGTTGAAATCATCACCTGCTTATAGCCTTTTGTTTGTTTGTTGTTTTTCTTTTTTGGTATTGTATCGTCTGGGCCCATAGAAACGCTCGCATGGGCAAGGCCCAGCTCACTCTACGACCTGTAGCTAATCGTACGTAGTAACGATTTGTATTTTTTATTCCTTTTGTTTCTTTTATTTTCTATTTTCTCTTTTTTCTTTCAGGTGTAGTTTTTTTTCAGTTCTAATATATGTCAAAAAATTAAAATACACACTGATTGTTTTTGGATATACGGTGAACATTGTTTGTAATACACATTGAACAAATTATAAAATTATGGTGAACATAATTGTAATACACATTGAACAAATATTTAGTATATGGTGACCTTCTTCTAATATATATTGAACTTATTTTCTATGTATTGTGTATGTTTCTTAACGTATGTACGGTGAACCTTTTACAAAATACTCACTGAAGAATTTTAAAATGTACACTGACTTCTAACGATAAATAAAACAATAGAAGAGGAAAAATAAAAAACTGGTCAAAAAAACTTGAAAAATGTTCACGTATTAAAAAATATGTGGATTAAAACAATCATGAATTTGAACATTGTTTGCAAATTCGAAACATGTTAGTTTAAAATGGACCCTAGTTGCATGTCATGGGTGAAGTTGCAACTAAGAAGAATATTAGTCGGGCCCCCAATTGCATATCGAGGGTGGAGTTGAATAATAATAGGTACTTCAGAACATTGTTACAAGAGTAAATCACCTCTACAACTACAAACATTTTTGCAACCAAGGACCCTCGACAAACACACTCTCCTAGTTGCGAGTCGATGTTCGGCATGCAACTGGCAACCCTCGACAAACACACACACCCCTAGTTGCGAGTAGTTGCGAGTCAATGCTCGGCATGCAACTGGGGACCCTCGACAAACACGCACACACGCGCGCACACGCACACACACACACACACACATCCGTAGTTATGAGTCGATGGTTGACAAGCAACTGGGCACCCTCGACAAACACACACACC